GAGCCACAACTCCAGCCCCACTTTGTTTTCACACAACTTTCTTTAGGTAGTCTTTTGTGAACTTGAAGTAGGTGTAGTACACATGTGAACAAGGTTGTTCTTTCTGAAGTCCATATTGCTGTGATATTGTGCTTTGAGCACCTGAGAAATACTCACCAAAAATATTTGGTCAGCCACTTATTAAAATTGCAAATTGACCTTTGCTTTCACTTCCAACAAACTATAACAAAATGGTTGTCATGATTTTAGACCTCAAAAAGACCTGGTCTGCTTGAATAACCAGATTTCTTCCCCAACCCCCATTATTTTAAATTTATTTTTATGTGGTGCTGAGGATCGAACCCAGTGCCTCCCATGTGCTAACCAGTTTTCTAAGGGAACTGAGACACACGTTCCAGAGCTGTACACTAATATTGCTTGGTGAAGAGTCTGAGGTGACCATTTGTTTTTAGTATCAGAGCAGTAGAAGCTCTTGGCTAAGTGTCACCTGACTCTCAGTTCTCATCAGAAGACTATTTGTGTTAAATTTTCTTGTAATTTGATCTGTGAAAACCTCATTTTCTCTAATTCTTCTCGAATCAACTAGGAGTTCCCCTGCCTATCATTTCTTTGTAATATTTTTTATACTTTAGCCCACATTATCATCTTTCTCCTGTTCTAATCAATTACACTGAAAAACACCAAGCAAAGTATGAGAGAGAGGAATACTTAAAAAAAAAGGCCTTTGTGTTCATCCTTTTTGAAATGAAATTACCCTTTGGATTATTAACTGATTTGGAAGCATCATATTTCTTAGCATAGTAGTTTGATCTGTTCTTGAAAATCTGCTTATTTAACTAGTAAAATAAATAGTGATAGGTAATTCAGTTGTATGCTCATTATGACCAAGCTGGTATTTTAAAACTTAATGTTCTACATCAAATAATTTTCTCTGTGCATATTTATAAGCGAAGTAGCTCATGTGTGCTAATCTGATTTTCTTCCTGTGTTATTGGATCATACAAGTAAAAATAGCTTTTTGTTCTCTATTTAAAGTCATTTGGAGAGAGAGAAAGAGAGTGTTTGTGTGTTTGGGTTTATTTCTTGTTTGTTGTTTGAGATAGGGTCTTGCTAAGTTGCCAAAGCCAGACTTGAACTTGTGATATCCTTCCTCAGCCTCCCATGTAGCTTGGATTGCAGGCATGGACCGCTGTGCCCAACTTTGAATATGTTTTAAGTAGTTTCTTTAGGTGTCTGAAAATGTTATTTGGAAGGATTTTTTTGTAGAATTTTTTGCATGATTGCAAGCGGTTAGGTGTTTGTAGGTTTGCTCTTTTTTGTTTTCTCCCCCCCCCCCTTTTTTAAAATGTATCTAACTGCTGTCTCTAAATCCTGAAGCAGTTAGATGCTCCTAAACTAAATTGTTCATCCTGATTACTTTCTTTTTTAAAGAGTCTTGAGAGCTTTATTTTATAGCCTTTTTAATAATCATTTTGGTTGAGACCAGTAGAATTAGACACACTAATATTTGTATCTGGTTCATTTGTTCCTGAAGTTAACTAATTCATGTCTCTGTTCCTTTTCCTGTAAAAAGGAATAACAGTGGTGCTTACTTTATAGATCTGTGGTGAGAAATAAATGAGATAAAAGGTAACACAAAACAAATACTTAAATATTAGCTTTTATTATTATAGATTGGGGGGGGGGTTAGTAAACATTTTCCGTAAAAGGCCAGATGGTATGTCTTTTAGGCTTTAAAGGCCAGTTTGTCACAGCTACTCAACTCTGCCTTTACAATGTGCATGCAACCATAGACACTGTGTTAATGATGAGCCAGGCCATGTTCCAATAAATCTCTTCATGAAAACAGTTTGCCATATTAGGCTTGTAGTCTATAGTTTGATGACCCCTGTTCAAGACTAATAAAAACTAAAAAATTTTAAAAATGTATGGAAAATATTAAGAGTTCAGTGTAGTTCTTCTGTAAAATGAATTATCAAGAGAATTTAGGTAGATTAAAAACTTCAGTTTACAACCTTAGACATTTAAAATTTCAGTGTCTTAAGACATCTTTTGCTCAATTAACATATTTTATAATGAAAATCTCAACCAGGAACCATTTTTAAAAAAACAGTATTTATTGACCTTCACAATTTTTGTTATTAACCCTTTGTGTCTACAAATATGAAAACATTGGGACCAACTTAAATGCCCTTCTATAGTATATAGGTTGATTAGTTTTTGGTACATTCACAAAATAGAGTACATACAATATAAAAAGAGAGTAAAGAAGCTCCTTATGTATTGATATGGAATGATTTCCAGAATATGTAGTTAAGAGCAAAAAGCAAGTTGCAAAAAGAATACACAAGTATGTTGCTTTTTCTATAAGAAATAAACAGTGTCAACAACAAAACAACCAAGCATTTCTAGATCCCTAAAAACCCATTAGTGGAGAATATCCCAACATGTACTCTTCCCTTACTACCTTAAAGACAGTATATAAAAAATAATCTAGAACTGGGGACGGGGGTAGTAGTATTGTACTTGCCTAGGATGTACGAAGTCTTGAGCTCAATTCTCTGGTATTGCAGAAAAGAAAAAAGGTCTAACCTTTAAGGCAAAACAAAACAAAACAAAAATAAGTTTTGGAGGCCTGGAATTTGGGCAGGGCTCGTATTGATGATTGTTTTGCTCCATATATTACCAGATGGGGCCCTTAAGTTTTTTCCGTCTAGTAGATGGGCTACTCTGGGCCATCTGAGATGGATCATTCACGTATCTGATACCTTGCCAGGTAGAAGGCTGAGCTCGTCTGAAACTGTCTTACATGTGGCATCTCCAACATGCTAACCATTTTTTAATTTTTATTTTGCAGTACTGGGGATTGAACCTAGTGGTGCTCTACCACTTGAGCTACATTCCCATCCCTTTTTACTTTATTTTGAGACAGGGTCTCACTAAGTTGCCCTGCTGGCCTCAAACTTATGATTCTCATACTTCAGCCTCCTAAGTAGCTGGAATTACAGGCTGTGCCACCATGCCTGGCTGCTAATAGTTTTTTTTTTTTTTAAATGAAATGACTGTGCTGCACATGATGGTGCATGCCTATAGTCCCAGTGACTTGGGAGGATGAGGCAGGAGGATCACAAGTTCTAGGCCAATTCCAACAATTTAGCAAGACACTGTCTTAAAATTAAAAGTGAAAGAGGCTAGGGATGTAGCTTTAGTGGTAGAGTGTCCCTGGATTCAATCCCTAGTAACATAATAAACAACAGACAAAGAAAACACTAATCCCCGCAACTCAGGAGGCTGAGGCCCAAAGGATCACAAATTCAAGACCAGTCTCAGCAACTTAGTGAAACACTTCTAAAAATAAAAAGGGCTGGTGATGTGACTCCGTGGTAAACTACCCCTAGGTTCAGTTCTCAGCAAACACCCCCCACCCCCGCACCCCTGCCCTGCACACCAAATAAAAGACTCGACGTTGTCATTTTGAATCTCATTTCTTCTCTTCTTGGGTACATGGGCTATGGCTTGTACTCCCCAGAATTATGTTGAGTGTGTTTTTTGTTTTTTAATTTTTTTTTTTTGCTGCATAAGCAGATTCTCAGCGGTTGGGGGGGGGGTCTGGAACAAAGCACTTACTGCACAGATGACATCTTACTCTATGGGGCACTTAACTTGCTATGTATAAGCTGCCTTGCTAGTCACAACTAAGTGCTCTATAAGAAACTTAAAATATGCCTTAAAAAAGAAGGAGGGGCTGGGGTTGTGGCTCAGTGGTAGAGCGCTTGCCTAGCATGCGTGAACCCAGGCCCTGGGTTCAATTCCCAGCACCATATATAAATAAGTAAAATAAAGGTCCATCAACAGCTAAAAGATATTAAAAATAAATAAAGAAAGAAAGATGGAAATTTGGGCTGGGGTTATAGCTCAATGGTAGTGTACTTGCTGGCATGTGTGAGGGCATTGGGTTGGATCCTCAGCACCACATACATACATACATGCATACAAAGGTATTGTGTCCATCTACAAGTAAAACAAAAACTTTTTTTTTTTTAAGAAATTCTGCAGTATGTGACAACATGGATGAATCTGCAGGAAGTTATACTAAGTGAAATAAAATAGTTATGTAAGGACAAATATGTACAATTCCACTTATATCAGATATCTTAAATAATCAAAACTCATAGAAAGAAAGTATAGTGATAGTTGCCAAGGGCCATGGGAAGAGAGAATGAGGGCTTGCTATACAGCAGGTGTAAAGTTTCATTTATGCAAGATGAATAAGATGTTATGTAGTATTGTGCCTATAGTTACCAATACTATGTTGTCCACTTAAATTTTTGTTGAAAGGGCAGCTCCCATGTTAAGTGTTCTTACTACATTTTTTTTTTTTAAAGAAATGACTTAGCAATTAACCATTTTGAGGGGGGAAAGTAACATCAGAGCCTAATGAGTTTTTTTCTGCATCTGTCCCCCTTCCATGGGTTCTTGGTAAGATAGTAAATGGCAGAGTATGGGGACAGATCAGGCACTAGAAAGGGACAGGTTCAGTGGTGACTGCTGTTGAAAAAGGGGCTGGTAGACTTGAATTGAAGCTTTGTATGACAGGCCCTCCCCCTTTTTTGCTTGAATTGTGTTTATCTGAAGCGACTCATGATGTGGCAGCTGAAGTTCCTCCAACTCTTCTTTCTATCACTGGGCAAATTAGGGGATCATATAAACATTCCCTCAATTCCCTATCACCATCACACCTTGGAGTTTCTGGGAGGGCCTTTTCATTCTATACTATATAATTCTGCTATTTCTCTATCAGCCTCTTGATCGTTATAGTTCTAAGCTGATAATTTTGGGTCCTTTGTCTTTGCATCATATTTAGGTATATAAAGCTCTCCAACCTTAACTGTAGATGGGGTAATAGTACCTACCTCAGTGTTGTGAGAATGCTTCAAGTGCTAAGAAAATGTTAGGTGTTATTGTTATTGGATAAATGTCTTTCAAACTTCCTTTTTCAGAAACTGATTCAGCAGGACAGAAGGAACATAGAAACCAGACTCCTGCTCCAGCTGCAACTCAAACTTCCGCTCCCTCTAAGTACCACCGATCTAGGTCTGGAGGAGCCAGGGATGAGCGATACCGATCAGGTAAGAAGGAACTACAGAAATTATCAACTCAGTAGTTTTTACTGATCATAGTGTGAACTGTGTATTCTGAGAGCTTCTAATATTTGTTCTATTTTTTCCCTTTAGGCATTAATAGGTCTATATCAATTCATTCATCAAGCACTTATTTAGTACCTACTATGTGTCAGGTGTAGTAGATACTCAATATTTGGTGATGATAAAGCAACATTTAAGACCATTTCTGCCCTTAAGGAATTAAAGAAGAGCCAGAGCCAGGCATAGTGGTGCATCACTGTAATCCCAGATGTTCAGGTGGCTGAGGCAAGAAAATCACAAGTTTGAGGCCAGCCTGGGCAACTTAGTGAATAAGCTGGGGATATATAGCTCAGTGATATATCCACTGAACCCACTGGTAACCTGGGTTCAATCCCCAGTACTGGGGGAGGTAGGGTTGGGTAGAGAAGAAGGGAAAGTGAAGAGTTAGGTCATGTGGGTTGGTACTATGAGAGGTTAGATGCATATATACATAAAATTTTATACATGGGATATATAGCTCAGAGGCAGAACACTCCTGGGTTCAATTCCCACTACCACAAACAAACAAACAATACAAGAGTTAGCTAAGGAAATAGCACCAGATAGTAGACCCAAAAATAACTCTTCATGGCCAGAACTTAAGAATGTAAGGATTAGAAAGAAGTGGGAGGTGAGGCCAAGAAACATTACAAGAAACCAAATCTTCAATGCCATTTAGGTTTTGTAGCAGATTAAGTAACCTAGTCAGGTTTTTATTGTTCTTGTTGCTCAAATCCAGTTGCAAACTGCATGCTCTACCACTGCTGTGTGCCAGTGTTAAGTAGATATTTTAAAGAAAGGAAGGAGTAAAAGTACTTATTAAGTACTTATTAACAGTGGATTAGAGGAACGAAATATTGGAAGTAGCAAAGCGTGTCAGGAGCTCCTGTTTGTTGCCAAGTACCCAAGTCTGAGTTCCTAAGTTCTCAGTGTTGCCTCTTTAGTCTGGGCCCAGGTCCAGAAGCAGCATGTTCTAACCAGTTTAGAAGGGTTTTAGCCTTTACAACTATTATCTCTGGCCTTCTGAGATATTTTGTGTTTTCCCCCTTGGTTTTTCTTTTTTCTTTGTTACAGCACATAATAAGAGGATTAGTAAGGAACTGAAAAGATTATATTGTGTGTCCAAGATGATCATATGATAGAAAAAGGTATTTAGTACTATAGAGTTTTGATTGTTACCTACAAAAATCCATCTGTGGTCTCTGACCTCTTTCTCTTTTTTACCAGTTCTTTCATATTATGAGAAAGTGAGTTTATGAATCAGATACTAGTCAGCAGGCTGTGGAAACAAGGTTGTGTAAGGGTACTAATGAGAATTTAACAGTCAGGTTTGGGAGTTTTTTCACTAGGACATTTTTTTGCACATGTAGGGAGGTACTAGCAAGAAATAGGCCAGAAAGTGTGGTGGTGGTGGTGGTGATGGTGGGGCTGTGATGAAGGAATGAAAAAGACGAACTGTTGAAAAAGGCTGAAGATACTGAAAGTTATGAGAGTGTTGTAATACTCTCAGTGAATGAGAACATGAAAGGGGCATGCAAGCATTGAAATATTTGGTGGGGGAAAAAAAATCACACTTTTTCAATCCAGGAATTTCAACTAAACAGCAATGAAAGCTCAGCACATTAGAGAAATTGATAGTCTGGGAGAATTCTGGCCTCTCTGAAACCAACAGCGGCTGCAGAGTTGAAACAAATAAGTTGCAGAGGTTGATGGTAGCTGAACTTTCACTTCTCTACTATTCTGGTCATGGGAAGGGTTACATTTACGAATCACATGCAAACATAGGTTAAGAACATAGGATATGTTTAGTGAAACTTGCAAGATTTCAGAAAAAAGTGATGGGTAAACAGGAAGTGTTTAATGATAATAATGCCCCAGAGTGCAACTGGAAAATGTTCTTTTAGTTAGTGGATGCTTGTTAACATCTATACCATATCAAAGGATCAAAATAAAATCTGCATACATTGAGCATTTCATGTTTCAGGCAGTATTGTAGGCTTATATATTTATTCAGTGTTTAGGCCATCTGATTTGTTTCTGTTTCCTTTCTTTTTCCCCTGGCACCAGGGATGTAGCTCAGGGCTCCACCCTTGCTAGGGCAAGTGCTCAACCAGTGACCTATATTCCCATCCCTTTTTATTGTATTTTGAGATAGGGTCTCATCTGATTTTGTTCTTTGTGCTTAGCCAAAAGAGACCTTATATTTCAATATGTTACCTATTCAGTATCTCTTTTTTCTGCACAGCAAGGCACCCATGTATGGCATAGTCTCAAGCATAGAAAACACAATTAATGCTTAAGATGGAAACTGATCTTGGTTTAAACCATTCTGAATATTTTGATGTTAATCTCTTGAAAAATTAGCTATTCCAATGAAAACAACAAAAGGAAAACAAAAAAGGACTTTGAGGATATATTTGTATCCTTCAGCTGAAACGTTTGTATTGAAAAATAATACCCAGCTTTCACTTGCTTCTAGCAGAGAAGTCTAAAGTCATCTTTGTCTGGGGACTGAACTTCGGAAGTGATTTCTTTATCAAATATGGATTGTATGCTGGTGAATGAATCTAAGAGGCTGCCAGTTCTTATCTGTACGAGTCTTTGCTAATAGAATGTGAATATCTCCTTTTGACACTAACATTTGGGCATAGGTTTATCATGTCAGAAAATAGTTGTGGTTTGATTTGTTTTATGATCTGATGCTGTAAATCCTTATGGTGTGGAAGAACATGCTCTGTAATTATTATCAGAATATCACAGGCCTAAAGCTTTATCAGTGAATAATTTCCTAGCTTTTTAAAGTTTGCTATCATATGCTTCATATCATATGTAAAAATACTTTGGGAAATGTACTGTTTTTAATTAGATCAGATCAAATGTGAGCATTTGATTTGCTATTTTCTGTTATTGAAAAAGTGCTTTTTCGGAGGACTTGGTGATGTGTACTTGTAATCCCAGTGGTTCCGGAGGCTTAAGTAGGAGGATCTCAAGTTTCAAAGCCAGCCTCAGCAACTGAGCAAGGACTTGAGTAACTCAGTGTGACCTTGTCTCAAAATAAAAAATAAAAAGGGCTGGGGATATTGCCCAGTCGTTAAGTGCCTTTGGGTTCAATCCCTGGTACCTTCCCTCCCACACACAAGAGAAATAGCTCAAAAGTGTGGCAATATTTTTAAAACTTTAGATATTTATACTCTTTAACCTGGAAATTTTACATTTAGGAATTTGTTTTATACAGATACCAACATATGTACACAAGGATGTTTGTTGTTGTATTGTTTAAAATAATATAGTGGTTAAACAAATTATACATATGTGTACACAGTGGGATTTCTAGGAAAGCTGATTTTTCTTCTTGGTTTTTTGTTTTGTTTTTTTGTTGGTAATGGAGATCAGATCCAGGGTCTCATGCATGGTAGGCTAGCACTATACCCCTGAGCTGCATCCCTAGCTATAGGATATTTGTTTTAAAAGAAAAACTGAGGTAAACCTGTTTGTACAGATATGAAAAGATACTCAGAATACAGTTTTTTAAGTAAAAAAGGCAAGACAATATGCAGTATATGGTCTGATTTTTGTAAAAACTAATAATGTTATTGTATACATTTGTATTCAAATACAACAAAACCTGGAAAAATATATACCAAACTATTGAGATGAGATATTTTTGGGAGGTGCTGGATCTAGGAACATTTTTCACTTTGGCATATGTTGGTAGATCTTTTTGCATCATATACAATTTTATTGTGGTAAATACATAAAATTTATATATGTTAATCATAAACAAAAATAATAAGCATAGGCTTTTAATGTGATAGTCGTGGATTAATGATTTAAAGTTTTAAATATGATGATGATGATGATGATGATGATGGTGGTGGTGGTGGTGGTAGTGGTGGTGGTAGTGGTGGTGGTGGTGGTGTAGTACTGGGGATTGAACTCAGGGGCACTCTACTGCTGAGCTACATTCTCATCCAATTTTTATTTTTTTAATTTTCAGACAGGGTCTTGCTAAGTTGCCTAAGCTGGACTTGAACCTCTGATCTTCCTGCCTCAGCCTCGAAGTTGCTGGGATTAGAGGTGTGCACCACTGCTGCCAGCTTAAATCAATTTTTGTATTAAATAATTTTTACTTCAGGTTTAGATTCCTTTGACTTAATGTTGGGAACTAAATGCAAGGATAACTTTATCAACCTAGTTGTGGACTTTTATCTTTGTCCAAATCTGATCCCTAATCTAGTGTGACATTTGCTAAAGTGGCTGGTACTAGTGTTACAGGATCCTTTTCTTCCTATATTAATATACTCCTTATATGACAGAAGGTAAATGAATTTGGTGCATTTTTTGTAGACCTCCCATGATTTGAACACAGTTTTAGATGCTGGAAAAACACAGATTAAAAATCTAAGAGTCCTTTTTTCAGTGCATATTCTACACAATACAGGGTTTAGAAGCAGCATCAAAGAGAGAGGTAGAGGAAGGCACACAATGTTAAACATCTGTAAGTGGTATTATCTGAGCCATTCTGAAGGATGAATAGCTGTTTGCTATGTAGATATTTTAAGCAAAAGAAACATAATGTGTGAAGGCATACAATGTAAAATATATATTGTACTTTATAAATAAAATTTCACTCCTCTTCCTGACTCAGCATAGAGTTAAATTTATTTATGGAGCTAGAAACCTGACTTTTGGAATTCATTTGGAAAAAATGTAAGAATAGCTAGGAAAACACTTGAGAAAAGCTCTGGGAGACTCATAACTGCAAGGTATTGAAATATACTATAAAGGCTCTGTAATTCAAACAGTGTGGTATGCCATACAAATTGGCAGGCAGAACATTCGATAGAGCAAGAAGTTCAGAAATTGACCAAATTGACCAAAATACACCTGAGAACTCAGTATATGACATAGATAGAATTGTAAATCACTAGGGCAAAAATACTCTT